AAATGTATATATGTATGGATCTGTATTAAAATAGGGAATTAAATTTAGATTACGGGAAGCAATTTTTAAATTTTATATTGTTAGTCTTTTGAAGATTACGATGAAGGAAATTTAATCATGCCTGCTTTAATATTTTATTAATTATTGGTTTTTAATAAAGTTTAAAAAGTAGAGAAAACGAATAGAATCAAAGGGAAAATTAGAAAAATTTAACAATATTCGAAGATTTGTTTTGTCAAGAGCGTGCTGGATGTAAGCCTAGCGTTAGTCTGTCGTCATTGAACTGGAATTTAAATTTATTAATGTACATCATTAAAAAATAATTAATCCCATTTTAAATGATAGTATATGAAAACTACTTCTTAATAGATACAGATTAAGGATTTGTTTAAAGAAATCCATAGACAGTCAAATACGGTAATCCAGTAATTGCGATACAATCTTTGTTGTGCTCTCTACAGTTCTAATAATTTCAAAAGAATAATTGTTTTGTTATTAATCCTAATACATAATATATTTTTTATACCGTTTTCTTGTTGATCTTCTTCAGTGTATATAAAATATATCAGCTCAGGGGTCACTCCTCTTCAATATTTACTCACATAATAACTACTCGAAGTTTTTATTTTCATTTACAAGGCATATTCATCAATTTCCATGTACATTCAAAGTATATAGGACAGAAAATAATCATTAATATAAATATAGTCATACTGTTTCATTAAAAGTTATGCTAGAATGCCTTTTTATATCCTTTTCAAGTTTTTCTGATTTTCTATACATTGATAATTAATTACGTTGCCAATAGATTTATCAATATTGTCACCATCATCATTTCTAATAAAAGGACACAGATATTTCATGAAGTGTTAAGAGTTATCTAACAATTTTTTCAAATGAATTTTTATAAGTAGGCTATATTGAAATAGTATTTTTGGTGACAGTTTAAATATTAATAAATGAATCTTGAAAATGAAGACGAAAGTGTGAATGAAATAAGATTCAAAGAATATATGAGTATGTAGGAAAATTGTTTAATGATTTTCTATAATAATGAAGTGGAAATGAAGAATATGTTATCAGTTAAGTTAAAATTTAATGGAATTGTTGAAGAAATTGAAAAGAAGTTAAGGTATGAGTTGTGTTACATATTTGCTTGTAAAGATCTGTACAAATCTACAAGATTTATAATGAAAAATACGGGAGACTATATTGTTTAAATGACTTGAAATAGAAGATTAATGATTTTGTTGAAATTGTTTTTGATATTTTGAGTACCCACATACATATGTATGTATGTTGGTAATTGTTATTTGAAATGGATTGCGAAGCATCGTAAATTAAAAACTTTTTCAATTTAAATTTATTTTTGTGATTTAGTTCATCTATTCGTATATAGATGGCATTCAGAATTAGAAATGCATGTTATTTTTTACAGAGCATTCATAGATCGAGTTCTATGTGTTTAAAAAAAATTTGATATTTTATAGACAATTTCATATCATTAATTTTCAACTATTTATACTGATACTTCCAAATTAGAAAATCATAAAATAACAGAACAACTTTTGATTGATTTCATAATTCCGGCTTCAAGTTAAAATTGCAATCGCAGCCCGTATTTGTGAATGTACTGCAAAAAAACAGTCCGTTTTAGATTGTACATTGCAGATTTTACATAACTGAATGGAGATATGGGCAAATGAACACCTCCCTTCCGTTACAAACCATGGTTTATTGTAGCCCTCGAATATCCGACTTATACTATTGCGGTTCCAGGTATATACTCGGCGATATCAGCTCCCAATATTGATAATAGTTCTGCAAAAGCTCTCTCTGCAGAACTTGCTTGCAGAAATTAATACTATTTTGGTGTAGTGTTGTTTGCTTATGTTATTAGGAATTTTTATTAGCAAAAGTACTTATTTTTAGTTCTATGTTCATTGTAGTGCTGCAAACATGAACTTAACCTCTATTGTATTTACTTTTAAAATCTCACACACCCTCACACTAAAAAAATTTTTTTCAACTAATCAGATGTGCTCTGTGAAAATTCTGAATGTGACATTCTACTTTTGAGTTAAATGCCGAAAATACTCATTATAAAATTTGAACTTCAATAGTGTCAACTCGAAACTTTTATTTGATTCTTATGAATTTTTAAGGAAAAATATAGAAATGAAAATATGCTTACCAATTCTAATTCGGCAAAAGCTTTTTTCCTGAAATGCTTTGTACAAAAAAATCAATAAAAATCCAAATTAATTAATTTTTTTTTTTTGGTTTATTAAGTAATTGACAACTTATTTTTTAATTTTACATAGTATGCATTTAATAAATTGAAAAGAATAATTGTAATCGCTTATAAAAAATTTATTTTTTTCTTATTTTATTTTTAAATTGTAGAATTTACTCTAAATTTCCTAAATACATTCAACTGTTTTCTAATAATTTTTTTTTCATTTATAATAATTATTTTAAAGAATACTTTTATTACGATTTTTAAATTTTTACACAACATTTAAATCGCACTATCATAACACTTACTATCGTTTTATTTACTATCTGTAGTAAAAAAAAAGAGTTAGACTTCTTTATCTATAAATATTGTAAGTTTCAATAATCTACTTTTAGTTTCAGATAATCTACTTATACATACATACATACACATGTATTTTATTAGGTTTCACTCCTGCTTATTATGTACATGAAGCTACTACGTATTTATTTTTTATTTATTATTATTATTTATGTTCATAACTCCTAAAAATATGCTATATAAAAAAAATTTGAAAAATTATTGTATTATCCTTTCTTTTTTCTTCTTTTTGTATTACAATAAATTTTATGATATTATCTTTTTCCAAATGTACTTGAATTAATAAAAAATTACAAGGAATTTAATATGACAGGATATTTTTTATTAGAATTAAATGATGTTGTTCTTTTTTTGTTATCTTAATGGGGTGAGAGGGTTGTATTGTACGTTCGTGTATTGTTTTATTATTTACAATGATGTAAAAATAAGAATATAAAATTTAAGGTTTTTATTTTAGTTTTAATTTTGTAGACAGACTTTTAAGAGTCGCTCTTTGGCTCTTTGTATAGTTCTAAAAAAGTAATATTTTTATTGTGTGGTAAAACACAATTGAAGATGACGTGTAAGATAATTTAAAAAAGTTAAAAGAAATAAAATTAATAATGACAATAATAATGATTACACATTAGTTTGTTCACATATGAAATTTTTGATTTTATCATTTCATGACTTTATTGATCTCTTATATATGGTTAAAATAATAATGTGGTTTATTGTTTTTCAGGATAGAGAGGTGAATAAAGAAACACACAATTAGGAGTAACAAAAGTTTTGGTGAAGAAGAAAAGAAACGAATTGGCATGAATTCACATAAATGAAAGCGTTATTTTGCTTGATGAGTCGATTTTGGTTCCTGCTGCTTGTTTTCAGTATTTGTATGCTTCTGTTAACTAGAACAAATTCCGTGTGTAGCTATATATGAACCAAGGCTATTGTTCCCATTATAAGACTGTTTATAATTTTGCTTTAGTTTTAGTTTTTATTATTTTCCTGTTAAATACTTCTTAATTTTTGCATTTCTAAATTGGTTGTTTAGAGTTCTCCCATTTGTTTACTTTACACAAAATTTTGAATATAATATTGAATTGTTTTTGAATTTTCATGAATGTATAAGTACTCGAATTCCGCATATAATGATGATGTAATGGTGATTACAAATAATTATCAAATTCTTATAGCCCATAAATTTCATAGATGGTTATTTGGTTCAGAAAATGATGAGAAATATTTGTAAATATGTACTTTAGAATTAATAGTAAGAGTAGTAAACTTTTATACTATATAGAATTTGTATTGTTCAATTAATAAGAAATTAGTTTATTATTTAAAATTTTATAATTTTCTATGTCTATACAATTGCATATTTGGCAGTAAAATAAAATACTTTCCAAATTTAATTCAATTTTACACCTCTAACACATTTAAAATAATTTAAAAAGTACAAAGAGTATACAAAAAATTAGATTTTAAATTAATATAACAGTTATAATAATAATGCTATGTCGTATAACAAATAAAGCTTTCAAAACTTGTAAAATTTGAAGTTTAATTTTCTTTTGTTAAAATACAAAATACTTAATCAAACAATAATTGTTTTGACACATCAAAGACACGCAGTAGTTTAACATGTTGATTTGAAAATAAAAATTATTTTAAATGTTTGACCATTTTCATTTTTTAATTGCATAAAAAAAAAAAATAATTTCTGACACTTTAACCGCTCCTAGATAAATCTGTAATTGCTCAATAAATTTTTGATCAAATAAAAAAATATAAAAGAATGCCATAACAGTGGGTTCCTTTTTGTCTTTTATACAAAAATAAATTGATTGGTACATAATATTTGACTGTTATACAAGTTGGTGCAGGGAAATATTCTCATAAGAATTAACTCATTTTTAACATTTAGAACAAATGCAACTGAAATTGCACAACGAAATTTTATATTGAATTGTGGGAAATATTGTGCTAATTGCATTAGTTACTGGAATACCTGGCATCGCAACTTAAATCAGGCATTTTCGAATTTGATTTAATCATCAAAAGCATCCAACCATATTTCGAAATTGGAAATCAGTTGTGCGAATATTCATGTAGTTTTCCAGTATCAATAAATGTATACGAATATTTGGCGTGTGGCGAAAATTTTAAGATTTTTGATGAGATCTTTGAAAAGATTTTTGTCTTTTCATTCATAAAACTTTAAGAGTAAATGATTGAATTACAAAATATTTTTATTTTATTTATTCTTAAATTTCTTTTTTATTATTGTGACTACTTATACATTTATATATACATATACATAAATATACCCTATATGCTTATTAGAAATGCTAAAGTAGTTTGTTATAAATTGTTGACATTCTCTGCGGACCAAAAATCAAAAAGAAGAAAAAAAGATTTAAACAAGACTTTCTTTTGATTGTAATCCCTTATGAAAAGTACAGACAAACCCATCATTATTTACTTTTTGATCATAGTGATTTCTTTTCAAATTGTTATTTGTCATTGCAATTGTTGATGTTATACTACTTGTTGTTGTTGTATTTAATGTTGTTATACTAGTATTTGATGCTATTGCTGGTGTAAGAGTTGGTGTTGTTATTGTTTTCATTATTGTAGTTTTGTTGTTGATATCAAATGATGGGTCTAATATTGTTGTTGATGTGGCAGTTGTATTTGTTCTAATATCATTTAAAAAAGTACTCATCACTTTTTTATTAGATACAATCAATTTTCTTTGATGTTCTTTTTCACCACTATTGAATTGATTATTGGCTTCTTTGTGATGATGTTGATATTGATAATAAAATTCTGTGGGTGTAAAAGAATCTTTTGAATAATTTTCTGATGTTCTTATTGCCTTTGAATTGATTTTTAATGGTGATGATGATGACGATACTATATTATTATAATTTTTAAAATTACTTCTAGATGATTCTGAAATTAATTTTGAACTTGTTATAGTTGTAATAGTTGTTGTTGTTATTGAAGTATTCGCAATAGAATTAACTAAAAAACTTCTATTCTCTATGGGGTTTTTAATCTTTTGGGAAGAGAATCTTTTTAATTTCTTAGTTGAAAATTGATTTTGAAATTGTTTTCTTTTGATACTGCTACTTGAACGTTGTAATTCTATTTTAGTGTTATTATAATGAAAATTATTGACATCATCATTATGAAAATTGCAATTATCATCATCATCATCATCATAATCATCATTATTATCAATAGTAAAATCATTTAGATTAGATTCATTATTAATAATGATTGAATTATTTATTGGCTCTTTTGTATTTTTTATAAGATTTTCTTCTGGTTCTTCAATAAGAATTTCACTGAAATTTACTTTTGATACACGACGTATATTACAATTTGTATTTTGATTTATTTCTTTATTATTAATACAAATAGTATTTTCAATAGAATTATTTTGATTGGGATGATTCATTAAATTAATATTGGACGGGAATTGTTTATTAAATGTACCAGATGATAATGATATGTTATTATCGATGTCTCGAACACTTCTAAAATTTTCATTATTGTCATCACTTGTAATACTATCACTTCTTAAATGTTTTAAACTACTATTTTTTCTTAAATATTCTCTACGTGTACTTGAAGTTGTTGAACTGCTCATATTTGTTGAACCAGTATGAAATGTACCTTTACGATCAGCTAATGAACTTAAACGTTTATTTTTTATAAATCTTGAACAACCTAATAACCTTAAGAAACCATGTCGAAATTTTGTTGACATTAAATTATATAAAATTGGATTCATTGCTGAATTAATATATAATAATATACGACAAAAATATAAAATATTATAAAAATTTTCAAATGTTAATGTATTTAATGTTTCATCGGGTGCAAGTATTATCCAAAGTGTTAATATACGAAATGGTAATAAACAAATAAAAAAACTTATTACAACTGTACCTAACATAAATATAACTTGTTTACGATATTTCAATACTGTATTACTACTATTATTGTTATTACTACTATTACTATGTCTTTTTTTATTATTGCTATTTCGTTTAATGTTGCTATTGTGACGGTGTGTTATTAATCCAGGATTATTCATTAAATGTTTTGCAATAATACTATATAATATTAATAATATTAAAAATGGTATAAAAAAGAAAATCGATATACTGCCAATAAAAAATAATGCTGGCCAAAATTCATCAGCAGATGTTATACAAGTAGCAACCTCAGATCCATCATAATATGTTTCCAAACTATATTTTGCTATTGATAAAATTGGACTGTAAGGATATTTGAAAAAAAAAAAGAATTAATATGGTATAAGATTCTCGTATATTAAAAGAAAAATAAATTTCAATTGATTTTGTATTATAAAAATTTGTCATAGAACGCATTTTTATTTGGTAAAATAATTTTTTTTTCAAATTAAAGATTTAATTCTAATATCTTTATTATTTTAATTTAAAATTAAAAAATAAAAGGCGGCGAGGTGAAAAATTATACTTTGCAGTAAGACTGCTTGTACTTTACGTGCACTATATAACCCGGGAAGGTGTACTAGTTGAAAAGCAACTTTAACAAACAATTAGTTGCATACAACTTATACTGTCTTTCTTATAATCTCATTTTGAAGGTAAACGGAGAAAGAGAAATTGAAATTTTAGATTTTACTTGATTTACTTGAACATAAATTCATAAAAACTAACCTAAACTCAAGTTTAGGTTAATTACAGTTATAATAATTATTGTGCTCAGCGCATTAATGGCCTATTCAACATATTTGCAAAAATGAGTTATTATACTCAATAGAGCTGTAGTGGCCTAAAGAATTGTTCTATATTTTCAAAATGAAATTATCATTCTATTTTAACAGAAATTTGTTTTTGTTTTTAAAAAATTTTCTTAAAAATTAAATATTTAGCATTTACTCGAAATGTCATTTTTACAAGTAGGCCACGAATGCGCTGAGCGCCTCAATTATGGTACTGACAACATTTTACTCCTAAGCCTATGCAATGGAAATTCTAAAAGAAATTATTAATTATATACACAGCTAGCTATTTACTTTGTTGTACAATTTTAAGGTGGTTTCGGATTATTTTATTATTTATGAATGATTTTTCAATTTAATAATTTGTGATTGTTTAAAGTTTGAATGAAAAAATTTTAAATAATTAAAGTTAAATCTGTTATCTGTAATGTTAATATTCAATACTATTTGGAATATTATAAAAATGCGTTCTAGAAACTCAAATAATTTGAATTTTTAGATATTTAAAAAAAAATTTATTATAAAAAAATTTACAAAATTTTTTAGTTTCACATTATTAAAGGTCATTGTTACTTCATACGTTCTCTTATCTTTTTTAGCTTTCATTTATTGCCATAATAAATTCCATTTTTAACTCTTTTATTTAAAATTTAGCTATATTAGGATCTAAATTTAGTTAAATTACGTGCACTATAATATTACAAAATTCACAAAAAAAGAAAAACGAAAATATAAACAAATTTTTTATTTACTTTTTTTATTTTATTAAAAAATTTAAAATATATATGCACATATAAAAAAAAATCATTTAAATTGAATGCAATAACTGCGTATACTTCCCTTTCGGATTGAGTCCAAAAAAACATGCATGATATGTACTCAATTTTCTACAGTTTGTTCTAAGCGTGAATTTTCTATTGTTAACATTCCAATATTCTGTAATCTATGTGTAAAAATATGTGTACATACATACATACATACCTTCTTGTGTCTATCTTATAAAATAAAAATATAAAAGTAAATTTTATCTAAAAAAAAAAATAAAAAAAGGAAATTGTACATAAGAACAAAAAAAAAGATTTTGGAAAATTTGTAATAAAAAACGTTCTATACGACGACAACACAAACTTTATTAGATTTTGTATTGTTGTTGATATTCGAATTCTTTTAAGGACAAAAATTTCGGTTTTCATAATTGTTTAGAATAAAAGAAAATAAGAGGACTTTCAGACATAAAAACGGAATAGCGACAAAAAATAAAATAAGCATCTGAAAAGAAAAGTTTTATTAAAAAAATTGAAAAAAGAAAAATTTTTGATAACATCTGGTTACTATGCGATTGCAAGTATACACACACACACACAAATATGCGATAGTGTCTATATAAGCGAGCATCCAGTAAAATTGAATTTATGAAAGCTTCTTTGACACTATCTTCGCCATTTATATATGTATATTTACAATATATATATATATATATATATATATATATATATTGTGATAAGAATTGATTTATTTTCCTAAATAAATTTCTAGAAACAATAAGATTAAATTATTTGAAAAAGTATTAATAAACACTAGTGGGTTTCTTCAATAATATTGCTTTTCTTATTTTGTCTTGTTCAAATTTTTATTTAAATTGAATTCATAAATTTTTAGAAAAGAAAAACTTTTCTATTGAAAAATATTAATTTGAGGGAATAGCGATTAAGTTGTTATACTTACTTTATATTCATATAATTTATAAGTTTTCCAATAAAAAAGGGTTCTTCAATTAAATAAATTGTATATACAGTAGCGTGCAAATTAATAGCAGTATGGTGAAAAATTCTTGGCCGAAAAATTTCAAACACGCATATTTAACGGTATACATTTTTGTTTTTATACTAATAAATTAATTTCAATCAAATATTTCAGTGTTACAACAATAGTTTAAAAAAATTGAAAAATTTTGGGTATTGCTATAAATTTGTAAGTCGCTGTAATAATGACGATTTAATATATTTATATGAGAGTTGTACTCTAATATAATAAATTATTGCGATAATATGTATTTTTATTTAAAGTGCTATTTGAAGATAGTACACAGATTGGGAAAAATTTTACCGGAGAAATTACCAGCAAAATAATCAAGAAAAAGTAAGGATTTTTATTTTTAATTTTCTTTGGCTAATTCAATTTTTTTCAATTTGATTTTCATGCCTGTGTTGGAAAATTGTAGAAAAAATTTTGTATAGAAAAAGCTATGTTTGTATTTTTGTATAGAAAAAGCTATGTTTGTATTTATACACATCCAAATGTGTACTACCTTTAAATTGTGCTTAAAATAAAAACTGAACTAATAATTTCATTACTGTAATAGTGTGTGTATAGATAGAATGTCCGAGACTCGATGGAACCTGAAAAGTATGGTGATAGAATACCTCCAGGCACACATTTTGTATTGATTTTTGGGCTTCCTTTCTTGAGTTATGAGGCTCCAAACTTGCAATTTCTGAAAACCGTGTAATTTTTATATTTTTATTGTTAACTCACAAAGAACTATAACCAAAACCAATTTTATATAATTATTTTGAGGCTCATAATTCGTGATATTAATTTTAATAATGATTTAAGTTATGCCATTTTTATGGTAAATTTGTCTGGTGGTTATTTAGTTAATCAAATATTTTATTCGTGCAACAACAGTTGGTTGTTGACGAAATCTGTTGACGAAATCTGTTGACGTTCTGTTTATTTTGTTAGAAAACCGCTTTTGTTGATTTTGATAGGCTCTGCTTTTATTGCATCCTTGGAATAGCTATGTGTATGCAATTCGATCTATAATTGTGTTTTAATTTCATCAATTTCTTTTGTCCTATTTCTACGATGTCATGAATATCAAGCTTAATTAACACGGAACACATTTGTTTTTGATTTAGTAAGATTTTCGTTAAAATCACAAATGAAGAACATTAGAACCTTTTGAAAAACCTTATATAGAAGTATGTATATTACTAGGTATTAAATTATTTTTGAAAAATATCAATAAATGACAAGTTCTTAGAATAACTTTAATGTAAAATATTATTGAAATCTTTTCAAGTTCCTGTATAGTTTAAGTTTTTTTTTTTAATTTCGTGCAATTTTTATTAAAAATTTCGTATTTTTCGTAATAAATATTTTTCGTATTTTTTGTAATAACAATTTTTTGGTTTTTATTTTGTTCATATTTACTGTTATATTAATTTTATACAATTGTTGCCCGAATAGTTATGGACCAAGAGAATAAATTTTTAAAATTAATAAGACAAACATTAAAGTTTTGCGAATTAAGAAAGTTCTGTTGTTGATTACAATTCGGCAAACACCCCCTAATTTTTTCATACTAATTTCCGGCGAACTTTTTTTTTCAATTTTAATTAAAATAAATAAAATACTCGTATTCATTAATTTTCTTTTAGAAATTTTATTTGATTAATTTTTATAATTTTATACTGACATTAATTTTGTTATTGGTTTGTTTTTATGACAATTTAATACTTTTTGTTTTTATTGTTTCCGCCATTCTCTTAAAATCTTTTAGTGATTTTTTTTTTAAACTTCTCTTACATTTTTCTTAAATTTATATTATAAATTTTTTTACTAATAAAATATTTTTTTGTATTAGATTTTAATTTCAATAAATAGTCATGCATATGAAACTTAAAATTATTAAAAATTCTATATAATATTATTAATTCATTATAATGTATGGGTGTATGTTCAATTATTTAAACTTTATTATTTTAAAATTTTATTAATTTTTGTACAAAATTTAATGTTTTATACAAGCATTTCCCACTTCGTTATAAAAATAAATCAAAATTTTCAATGATTTTTTTAATTAAAAATAATTTTTTATTTTAAAATTTTATAAAATATAGCTTGCTAATCAATAATTTGGAAATGAATTTTCAAGGATGAGCTCAGCAAAGTTTTCTCTTATTATTATGAATTTTCATTTTCTACGGTGTTGAAAAAATAATTTAAAAATTAAAAAAAATTCTATAAAATTTTTAAACATAATGTCAGATTAATGCCGTATATGTACTCGTATATCTTATCAGCCCACAAAGCTCAGATCGTAAATCAATTTCCAAATTAAAATTAAAATCGCAATCGGTCTTTGAAATTAATTATGTGAAAGAAATTTTTTAATATTATTAGCTCTGCTGGCTCTACATATTGGCTTGAATTATTTAATCTTCAAATTTCAAAGCACTCGCTTTTTAAATGAAAATTTGAAAATATTCGACCTCTCCTATCCTTCCAATGAAAGGGTATTGTTACAGAGAAAAAAAAATAATTGCAATAATCAATTATTTTATAAAAATATTTCAATCGGAATTCATCGGAGCATAAAACTTTAGACATTGTTTTTGTAAATTTTGTCAGTTCGGAATATTTCGCAAAATAATATCACCTTGGTGGTCAGTTATTCCATTACTTAGAATATAATTGATATTCAAATGGAATTAGTCTTATTCT